TAGGGTAAAAAGAAACAAATTTGAACGTTAAGTAGCTGTAAAAATATTAACAAATAAAAAATCTATTTAGATAGAAAACAAAACAGAGAGAGCTTCACACAATACATGTTATTGAATCAAATGAATCTAATCATGCCTACTGGCAGAGTTCTCTACACACGCGCGATAACACCACACCCGGTGATCACATGATTAATCTGATTGGTTAAGCCAAATCAGGTCATGTAAATTCACACAATTTTTTCGTATATTTACATCAAATATAATAAAATTCACATAAAGTATTAGGAATAATAATTTTAAAATGTAATAAAAGTACAGCGTAAAAGGTAGGAGTACAATTCTACACAACCTATCACGTATATTCAATTCATTTATGTTTTTTGTGTAAAAATCCTAAGTGAATTTCCGCAATTTCTATCAGTGCGGTATTAAAGCTAACTACACTAACCACACAACGCCGTCAGATCTAGGTCAGGATATTTCCTGTATATTAACAGTACAAGTTCATATAAAATTAAGGACAATGGCTAGCGTTAGAATAAACTGCTTGTCCTATATAGTAAAAGGTATTAGGGAATTAAATGAAAAGGAACCAGAGTACCGCAATAATAGAAGGTGAAACAATGAGAAATTCTGGATAAAAAGGTAAATACATAAATACATCCAATACTATTATATTTAAATGGGATTAGTTAGTGAATATTTGTGTTTTTTATTTATAGAACATTTTCGTAAATGTCCAAAACTTTTGTCTTTTAAAGATATTAAGCTAATTAAAACTAATTTTGAAAATTTTCCTAAATTCTCATCAAATATTCACATACAGGTAGTATTGTTATTTTTTTTGTTTTCTTCATTTCTAAAATTTAGAAATTTCAGTGGAGTCCTTTGAAACTTAAAATTGCAATCAAGTGGAAGTTTACTGCCTCACAGTACTAGGTAAAATATGTTTCGATATTAGCCTACACTATTTTACCAACGCATTCTACGACTAAAAATAAGGGAAAAGTTTTTAAATATGTGTAAAAATGCTTGTTAAGGGGACTACATCCTCTTAAAGGTATAGATGATTCCAGTTTTTTCATGTGCAACTATTTGTGGCAAAAATTGAAAATACAAACCCACAACATATACCTATATATTGATGGAATCAGGAAGAAGCAGAAAGTCAAATAATATAACCCTGTGTTATATTTAAAAAACATAAGTTTGGCTCGTATCTTGTATAATTTCTATTTTCATAAACTCATTAAACTCATAAAAAAATTTCCTACAACTTTTATGTTAACAAACTCAAAAAATTAAAAAGTTAAGGAGAGTAAAATGTTATATGAATAACCCTGTACAGTGAAACGGCACCCTTTTATAATTTCAACTGACTGCACAATTTTGGAGTAATATTGATTTAAAAATTATTTATAGGTACCTATGCTGAAAATATATGAAACAGAATTTTTGGACACGGTCCACACACAGTGCTTTGAAAACAATTAAAAACAACAATAGGTAATCAATTTATTTGGCAAGATATAAAACCTTCAAACTGGTAGTTAAAAATAATAATTTGTGCTATAAAAAATATGCTTTCTATTATATTTATTATATATAAATATGATTACTGCAGATTCTGAATACCCTAAATAATATTGTTTAAAGAAAATATTTAGCATATTTCACTGAGCATAAGAGGCTACTGGCTACGAAGGTGTATCTGCTCATTATACTGCCAGATTTATTTCATATTGTTAAACTGTTAATGATTAATTATTATTTTTTAACAAAACTAACGGATAATTGAAATATTTTTATTCATTTGGAAAATAAAAATGTTGGAATTTATTTAGAAAAAAACAATTATAATTTGAACTGTTTGTCAGTAACGATAAGTATATTTATATTATAAGATTTTGTTAAAGAATATCATTGTTCAATGATACTAAACAAATAAGAAACTGTAATATGCAACAGATACATGCGAGTAGCCTTTTTGAAGCAGTCGAATGCTTTCTGTTTTTTCAAAAATGAGCCAAAAAGTATTTCGTTAATTTATTTCAGAGAAATTATATAAACGTGAAAATAGATTATCTATAGTGAGTGTTTAACATGTGCTACTAAGTATTCCGTCTTTTAACTTATCTTCAAATGAAAAATACTTATGGAATTGCTAGAACAAAATGTGTTTAAGTAATTCTGATTACTAAGCAACGAACAAAAATGCAGTGTACTGTGGTGCAGTCAACAAACCCGATAAAATGCCAATGTCCAATTAAGATATTTTTCGTATTGTTTTTTTCCATTCAGTTGTATCGTAAATAACTTAATTAAATTATCAGTTTCGCTCTTGCTAATTAATTTTATGGAACGGAAAATAGGAAACAAAAGCGACAAGAAAACTCAGACAAGGGTGTTGTTTCAGTTTTAGCTGTAAAATAACAAACTGCTTTTTTCAGATGATGTCTTAAGCTTTAACACCTACTCGTAATTTTCAATGTAGGTAATTTAAATATTTTCCAAAATAATTTAAAAACTGTTTATATTGTCAGATCCAGTTTTGGTATTTCTAACATTACATCAAATCAGTCAAACAAAATACTTTAATTAATTGGATATTTCAGGGTACCAAGTACAAAAAATATCGTATAATATAGAGAAACCGTTAAAGATGAGGGGTCTAAGTTTATGACCATAAAAAGTTGCATATTTTCAACTTTTTCTAACTTCCAGCTATACCGAAAGTTGATGTAAGTTCCTTATTTTAAATAGTGCACCCTTTATGCATATTACTGAATTTTTGAGAAAGCACAAAATTGTAAATAAAATATAAGTAGCATACATAGGGTAGAAATACTACATATTTTTACTTTATGCCTTAAATATATCGTTTTATTTGTTGTTTTATGTAAAAAAACTGACCCCAAATTCTGAAAAAAATTTCTTATGGCAGATAGGCTTTTTGTGTGGTTAAAGGATGTTCACTTTGTAGTCAATATTAAGTTTAAATATAATTTATTCGGTGTTCAATTTTATCCGTTATATTTTGTCAGTTTTGAATAGACTATTTTAGTTTAAGGATTATTTTTTAAATGTCTAGTTTAACTAAAATTAAGTTTAAAAGCGCGGCTTCTTGAGATATTAAATATTTTCTTTAGTTGTCAATATCTTCTCTACAAACAACTAAAAAATTGAATCTCTAATGCGCGTTTTTCGTTCCGGACAATGTATAACCTCAGAACAAAAGTGACTTACTTTTAATACCTTGGGTGATTGTTGTCCAAGACATAATCTTCCTTTATTAGGTTTAATATAGGTACTAAGTAGTGTAATATACAAATTTGGGTCGATGGGCGGGCTATTACTTTTTATGTTTACATAAAATCGATAGAAAAATTTAGGGATATGTATAAATTCCTTCTTAATTAACAAAATATTCCACCATTAAAAAAAAGGAAACTTGATAGTACTACTTGACAATAAATTGATTGCACACAGTTATAGAAATATGCAATTCATTGATAAAACATAAGTACATACGAATAATTTATATTTACAAATTTTTTTAATTTTATTAGGTTTATAACTGAATATTGATAAAATAGGCACTTTGATATTCGATACGGAAATTAATCAACGACAGTGTAAGCCTTTAAAATACATGGTCGATATAAAATTAGACATTCCAGGAATCATAACTCAATTTAGACTTAGGTACCTTTATACAAAAGTGAAACTCTGAGATGTAACGTTGTCAATGTGGTACCAAAAAATAATATTTTTTCATATAACTTTAAAATGTTTTGAACTAGAAAGACTTATTAGTTGGTATATTTCGCTATTTTACAGCCCCATGGCTATTTTTTAATATAAAATTATTTTTTTATATATTTTTCTTTCGGAAATATTTGATATACCTATGATATGAATTTTCAGTAAAAATATATATTTTCGGTCGTAAATCTACCGAACTGCCATACAGGATGTTTTCTTAAATTCTGATTTTGTACTTGGAGGGATCTACTACATAAAAGAAAAACAACATAGCACCCTTAGGTAGCACTTTAGGACCTATCTTTCATGTAAACTATTTTTAATCTTACATTCATATAAAAAAATAGAAACGAAACTTACATATTGTATTTCAGCACATTTCATTCCGAATATTATATCCGTTCTACTGAAAATTCACAGGAGATGCACGCAAAAGAGACAAAAAAATTAATTTAATTTTAGCAAATGTATTAATTAAATGTATAAAAACGTATTAATATATAAAACATGATGGGGATCAAAAAAGTGAGAGCCCAAAAAAATTTAAGTCTACATGTCATTTTTTTATGTATTATATATATATATATCAAAAAAATTAAAGTCTACATGTCATTTTCTTATTTATTATATATATAAATATATCATTCAAATAATAAATACAGAGACGAGAGACAAACCAACTAAAAAGTCGTTAACTCAGACAGTTATCTGAAAAAATATTGTTTCGTATACTACACTTGAAAGAGCTTTATATCAGTAAGCGATGAATTTGGTATATTTTAGTCTAAATTGATTTATTTTAATCCAAGGAATCTTTGATCCTACGTTGTTCACGTAGCTTAAAGACCAACAGTATTTAATACGAAGTTTCATTTATCTAAATTTGCTATAATTAAGTAACATGTTTCTTCAAATTATAAACGTTGCTTAATGCCCTACGAAATTCATATTTTATTAAGAGTCGTATGTAACATATTATGTTAAATTATTAAAAAGATTTATTAAATCCTTTTTTAAATCTTATTTTGTTATATTATCATTTGTTTTAAAATACATTAAGGAAAGATTGAGTGGAAGTTTTTATAAATATAGAAAATTTTAATTAAAAAAATGTTAAATATTGTATGTGGTCATAACAATTTAGTTTTTTTATTTTATAATAATTCTATGTATAGATACCATTTTTAATTAAACGTAACACATAAACTAAATAACTGGTGTAATATTTTTACCTGACTTTATTCATTAAACAACAAAACATGCACTCGTCAAGTCCCAGCAGTGAAACCACTTTGAACTGGGAATCAGAAACCCGTTCACGAAATCCAAGTTCTTTCAATAACAATTTTTCGAAGCCGAACTCGATTAAAGAGCACAACTTTTGGTAACTTTCTCCGTAGCACGTCGAAGTTTTCCCGCGAAAATCAGCGTCGAAGGGGTTTGTGCGACGCTGGAAACAGTTGCCGGCCGAATACGCGGTATTTTCGAGATGCGCCGGTCTCAGTTGGCGTGCGTTCTGAGACGCGCGCGGCTGTCGCGATCGCGTTTTGCAATAAACAATAATTGTCGGATTTGGACGGCAATTATTGTCGAGATTTTATTGCCGGGTCGTTTCCCTCACTGTTTTTCTTCCATACTTAAATAAGTTATTCCTTTCGACGAAGCAACGGCACAAATTGAGTCAAACAATAATCTTTAAAAGAGATTTATATGAGCAGATAAATTTGAGGATAAGTTAAATGATGTTAATACAATTAAGAAATATATAATACGAGTAGTATATTGTAAAGGGTGTTTCTGATGTTTGTTCAACTGAAACAGGGGAAAATAAATGTCATTTTAAGTAATACATTTTTTGTAAACTTGAGTCCAAAATCGCTAAGTAAAAACGTACAGGGTGATAAATGTAAACAATAATCTTCTGGAGAAATAGTTTTTTCTTCATTCGCAGTGGTGGTAATGCAGGGAGTAGGGAGAGTTCTTTTTTATTAAAGAAAAAACTGCCCTTGTCACTTTTTATAAAATAATATAATAATAATAATATTTATTCATCCTTTTCATCACAGTAATATGATATTGGACAGGTCACTACAGTTTAATTCTGGTACAGAACAAGTCTAAAAATGGGGAATAAATAAAATAAATAAGTAAAAAACATGTATGCACTGAGTCATTACATAGGTACTCGTAACTGAAACTTACTGTTAACGAAATGCGATACATCATATACAGGGTGTATTTAAATGGAATTGGTTGAAAATAAGTCGATTTAACCTAACATACCTATATCCCATAATAAAAAAGATACATTGTGTCAAAGTGAAAATAAAAAATGATTTTTCCTTAATAATTTCTATAATTTTAGTACGAAATGTTTCAAATTTTCAACACAGAGGTTTTTTAATGATGGGAAAAATAATATAATATTGATTTTTGAGTGTCAAGTACGAGCCGCCCTCTGCAGGCAACGTTATCCATTGAATATGTAGTAACTTTTTTGCCAACCCCCGTATACAGCTTTTAGTAACAAAATATGAAATATTGGACTTTTTTGAACAAAAAAGGTATACTTATTGAAAATCTCCGTAGAGGGGATATTTTTAATTTCATAAATTAGTGTAACGGATTTATACCTCCACGAATACCAAGGTTCGAGTTGCTTAAATAAATAAAAAAATCGAGTAGGTAAATGTCATTTGATAATACTCGTAAATTGCAATTTTGAAGTATTAGTTTAGTGTTAATTGATTTTAATCACTATTTACCTGCGTCCTAGATATTAAATAGTTTTGGAATTGAATAAAACAACAAATTATGTATACTAATGACGAGTATGTCGCGATGTTACAAGTATTTTTTGAATGTTACAAGAACTGTGCTGCTGCCAGATATCCCAATCGTCGTGTTCCTGCTAGAAAAACTTTTGAGGCGTGGAAAGAAGACTTCGAGGAAACGGACACATTCAACCTCGTCCTGAAGATACTGGCAGAAGACGTCTTATTCGCGATGTAGAACTTGCAGAAGTTGTCTTTGGCAATTTACGAGATTAGAATTCTGAAACTAGTACTTAAAAATTGGTGACACAGTAAAACGTTTCACATAGGTACTACGATTTGGAAAATTTTGAATGATAATAGTCTTTTATAAACCTATCATCTACAACCTGTGCAGGAATTGACTGCTGCGGATTTACCCAACTGGATAGATTTTTGTCAATGGTATATGAACATTTTAAGGGAAAACAGAAATATTTTATTCAGTATTTTGTTTGGTGATGAAGCGTCATTTCAAACACATGGTTTAGTGAACCTTCACAATAATCACTCATAGTCTGACGAAAATCCTCACCAAGTTTGTACATCCAAATTTCAACATAATTTTAATTTAAATGTATGCGCAGGAATCGTAGGAGATTATCTTCTTGGTCCGTTTATTCTTCCTCTGCGTCTCGGCGGAGCCGAATATTTGAGATTTTTAAATGAGCAAGTCCCAATATTGCTTGAAGACATGCCACTAGCTATCCGTGGTATGCAGAAAACGGAGCTTCTGCTCATAGTACATTAGCTGTTAGACAATGGATCTCAGATCTCACACCATGGACTATTTTTTATGGGGTTCAACCCTATTGATAGTGTGGAGATGCTTCGTCAAAAAATTTTTGCAGCAACTGAGGAAGTAAAGTTCAATTACATTGACTTTTTTATGAAATTTAAGAGAACGCATACTACAGTACCCAATTGTGTGTATGCACTGCGACTTAGCGCGCTGTTGTTTGAGGTCACACTAACATTTCCAGTGGCGGGGTGTGAAAATTACGAAAAAAAAATTAAAAAAAAAAACAGTTTTCAAGACAGAATTTGAAAAAACAAAATGACATAGGTATGTTTCTACGGGTCAAAAGTAGCCCCTGTGTAAATATGACACCCATAATATACACAGGGTGTAACTTTGAGATTAAACCAGAATAAGCTAAAACAAAAACATGTCATATATCTTCATTTTTAATCCTCTTAAAATACTTTTGTGACACTCATCGTTCACGGCCAACTCGGAAAATATTGACGGAAATGAGTTCAATTTTCGGGGGTTTTTGGGGTCGCTGAACACGAATATTACAACAGGAACGGTCTCCGAGGTACCTAGCGCCTAGGGTGACCGGTTTCCACGTCGTCTCCTGGAGTTTTGTGGAAATTTGTGATAAACTTAGCCGTAACTCGTTACGTCGGGCTTTTTGAGGTCGCTGAACACGAATATCACGACGGCAACGGTCTCCGAGGTACCTAGTGCCCAGCGTGGCCGGTTTCCACGTCATCTCCTGGAGTTTTGTGGAAATTCGACCCCCCCCCCCCCCCCCCGCAGGTAGCAAAATTGAACTTATTTCCGTCAATATTTTCCAAGTTATAAATTTTTCATTTTTTTCTCTCTTCGAGATGCGAGATTTAAAAACGCATTTTTCTTATGCACCGATGCAATTTTCATTTCTCATTGATCACTTAGGGTCACAAACTTTCTGGACGCCCGCGCTCTAACGAATCGAATGCAAAAAACTGCATCACGATCCATCTTGCTGCACAGATTTCGGAGGTAAGGCCGTTTTAGTGCTTTATTTCCTCGACTATTACCTATTTATTTTACTATAAAACTACAAAATCGTGCCATTAATTATGCGTTTCATTTATCAGTGCTATAGATATAGGGCAGTTCCTAGAACATAAGTTCTACGCCTATTACTTTTTTTTATATTTTTAAACACTTTACTAAAATGAAAATTGCAGTTTTTCAAAAGAATTTTAGTTAATAGGTTAACATAGAAAAGTGATTAAATCTGAACAAGATTGAAACATAAAAAACATGAAAAATACACTTGTCAATCATAGAAAATGATATAAACATATTATTTACATTGTAATAGTACCAATAAATAAATATCGAAAACATTATATTGTAAACACAGGGTGTCCGGAAATTCATGCAACAAAATCTGGTCATAGATTCTTAAGACAAATTTAGGGGACCCGTATTTTTTCTTTTTGCCAACTGGCCCCCTGTTTCGGAGTTACAGCCCCCTGAAGTCTGTCCCTAAAAATAGTCTTTTTCTTATATCTCGGAACCCTGTTGTACGAGAATAACTAAATTTGGTGCACAGGGGTTTTATGACATGTGGAATCTGATAGTGCTACGCTTTTCGGCGTAGGAACCCCCTTAAGACACTTTTTCATGGACCCCCTTGTCTTTAGAGCCATAAAAAGTTGGTAGCATATTTTAATTTCTTAAAAATTGTTAGTCCCCTAGAAAGCCATTGAATTGGGAAACTTTTTTGTCACTTGGTATTTTTTTCGTAAAATGCATTATTTTCGAGAAAAATGGCAAAATGTGATCGAATGCATATCGTGATTCGTATGAAATTTTACGTGTTAGTCGTAGGTGGCTGGCGTTCGCAATAAACAAACAAATTAATTTTTGGACAGTTATCATTAATCAGTTGTCCGATTATTATCTTTTCTGTGTTTGTTGAAAAAATGGTGACATTTTCCATTCAAGAAAAGGTCCAAATGCACCTGATTTACGGAGAGGCCCGTGGAAATTCACGTCTCGCGTCGAGACTGTACGCTGAACGATTTCCCCAACGAATACATCCCTATCATTCGATGTTTTCGCGTGTGCATCGGCAAATTATGGAGACGGGTTCTGTAATTGTCAAAAAACCCAATGCAGGAAGACGTCGTTTACTAACACCCTATCAAGAAGGAAATACCAAATTTTGTTGCATGAATTTCCGGACAATCTGTATAATATTCTTCTTGAAGACTATACCTACTTTTCTTATTTCAGATATAATATTTCTAATCCCATTTGTTACTTTGTTAAAACGCAACTTTAATATAATTTTATTTTTTATTTATTGTAGTTGAATCATGTTTAAATATTTTTAAGTTTAATTTATGTTTATTTGTCAGAATTTTTTTTTCGAAAATTTGTTACTTTAACACTTTATACAGATTCAGATATTTCAAAACGTCATAGGCTTAGGCTTAGAAGTTACGCTTTAATAAATGTCTACAGCACTAATAATAATTGAAATGAAAATCATTAACATACTGTGTGTGTTAAGGTTATAAAATCGCTGTCCATCTTTAAATACAAGGCCGTCTACAATGCAAAACTGTATGAAAAAAAAAATAGTACAACTGTGGAAATAATGGAAAATGTTCGATTAGTTGGTGACAATTCTGGAACAGTGAGCAGAATTTAGTAATTGACATCCTAATTGACAACCAATAGATCAGATAAAAGTTTAGCGAATTAATAATTTATTTAGGTAATAGAACTGTCAAAGCGCGCAACAGACAGGATACATGTGTGAGGGGTCGATGCAAAGATTATTTAGTTTGTGAAAGAAAATCTAAGGTGTAGCCTAAGAAGACTGTACCCATGTACAAATAACGGAATAAGAAGC